TAGCTAGCAAGCTAGCTAGCTAGCTAGCTAGCAAGCTGTGAAGCTGGATGGCTGGCTGCGTAGCTAGCTAACTAGTTAGCTCCATAGCTAGCTGGCTAGCTAGCTGCGTAGCTAGCTAAGTGCCTACATGTGTACATTGCTGCACGGCTAGCTAGCCAGCCAGCAGTCTGTCTAGCTAGCTAGGTAGCTAGCTACCTATTCAGCTAGCTACAGCTAGCTAGCTGGCTAGCTGTACAGCTAACTAGCTGGCTAGCTGGCTAGCTAGCTAGCTAGCTAGCTGGCTGGCTAGCTAGCTGTCCAGCGAACTGGCTGGCTGGCTAACTAGCTTTCTAGCTGTCTCTCTCGCCGCATAGCTAGCTGCCAGCTAGCTAGTTGGGTTGGTGGCTTGCTGACTAGCTGGCTAGCTATCTAGCTGGCTGTCTAGCTAGCTAGCTAGCTGGCTAGCTAGCTGGCTAGCTAGCTGGCTAGCTAGCTGGCTAGCTAGCTGGCTAGCTAGCTGGCTAGCTGGCTGGCTAGCTAGCTGCCCAGCTAGATAGCCAGCCAGCCAGCTAGCCAGCCAGCTAGCCAGCCAGCTGGCCAGCCAGCTAGCCAGCCAGCTAGCCAGCCAGCTAGCCAGCTAGCCAGCTAGCTAGCTAGCCAGCTAGGGCGCGGGTTCGAACCTGAGCTGGTCCGTGATTCTGTTCCCGTACTGCTCCTTCCACTGCCACACTTTTTCGACGAAGTCTTTTCTTCCGAAATCATGTCGAGATTTATTTTCTTCTTTCAGCAGTTTGCGTTCGACGACGGACTGTGTGGCGATGCCTGCGGACCCGCCCACCATTTTCCCATTTATTCGCCATTTGCCCCCATTTACTCTATTTTTACTCATTTATGGCTTATTTATTCTTTATTTGTTGTTTATTTGATGTTTATTTGTCATTTGTGTTCTGTTTCGCTTTTGTTCGAGCCGTTTCTGCGCCTTCCAGCGCTTTTCCGCTCTCCCCATTCGGGTGTATGTACAGCCGACCGCGCGGACGGCGATTCAAAAGAAAACAAAACAAGTCTTGTTTTATTAATTGTTTATCATTTATTTATTTATTATTATTATTATTTTTATTTATTTACTATTTATTTTCTTACTGTTTATTTGCTTATTGCTTATTTATTCTTAGTTGGTCAGTTCATGCTTTTTTAGCACTTGCAAGGACTGCCCCCAACAGCACTTCTTTCATGTTTAGTTATTCATAAATTACTTCAAATAAGTAAATGAATCAAAAATAAATTAAAAGATTAAACGGCTCACTGTAAACCCTAAACCCTAAACCCTAAACCCTAAACCCTAGAATTCCTGTGCAGCCAACCAAGTAAAGCAGCAGCGAGCCACAACTGCAACAAAAGACAAAATGAATTAAAAACAAAATAAGTTAAGAATGAAATTAAAAATAAACTTAAAATGAAATTAAAAATAAATTAAAAATGAATTACAAATGAATTAAAAATGAATTAAAAATGAATTAAAAAGAAATTCAAAAATTCAAAAAGCTGCTGCTCACCCGCGTGGTCCACCCCAGGAACCCACAGCACGATTTTGCCCCGCATTCGATTCCTGCAAATAAACAAATAAATAAATAAATAAATAAATAAATAAATAAATACATAAATAAATAAATAAATAATAAACAAACAAATAAATAATAGTAAACAAATAAATAAATAAACATATTCAATTTCTAAAATAACAAATTCAATAAAATCATTTAGAGCTCTAGGGGCCCCCGAGGGGCACAAGGGCAGGCCATAGGTCCACGTACAGCAGCAGCTGCAGGCAATTAGGGTTTAGGGTTTAGGGTTTAGGGTTTAGGGTTTGGGGTTAAGAGGATGTAGAAGAGATTAAAACGCGAGATTTAAAATGAATGTTTTAAATGAATTAAAAACATTTACATCAAATCATTAAACTACTTTAATGCACAAAAAATAAAAAAAAAATAAAAAGACAAAAATGAAAAGAGAGTTTCCTGGCCCTCCAGGTGTATGTACACCTCAACAAGGCAAAAGGAAAATAAAAGGCAAAAAGAGGGCCGGTTGGTTGAGGTGTACGTACACTCCAATCACGCCAAAAATTCCAAAAAAAAAACAAGTAGTTCGGGTGTACGAACACCTCAAAAAGCTCATAAAAAGAAACAAAAACGAAGAATCAAATCAAATCAAATCAAATCAATTAAATTAAATTCAAGTAATTAATTAAATAAATTAAATTAATTGAACTAAATTGATTAAATAAACTTGCCAGCGGGCCAAAGCGTCCTCTATGGCCACAGTCAAGGCGTGGCCAATATGCAAAGAGCCCGTGACGTTGGGGGGGGGAATAACCATAACAAACTTCTGGTTTGCTGCTGCTGCTGCTGCTGCTGCTGCTGCCGCTTTGCGGCGCTCCTCCACCGACCTCGCGGCCTGCCCTGCTGCTGCTGCTCCCCCTGCCGCTGCTGCTCCTCCTCCTGCTGCTGCTGCTCCCCCTGCTGCTGCTGCTGCTGCTGCTGCTTGCTGCCGCTGCGTCGCGTCAGCAGGCAAGAAGTAGCCCTGGGAAAGCCACCAGTCCATCCAGCCGCTTTCGACATACTGGGGGTCGTAAGTGGGGGGCATTGGCATTGCGAGTTCTGCGGTGTACGTACACCCGAAAACGCGCGAAAGCGGGTTCGAAGAAGCCCCACAACCCACAGACACAGCAGCAGCAAGCAGCAGCAAACACACACAAACGCGGCTCCCAGCCAGCGCAGCAGCAGCAGCAGCAGCACTCACTCTTCTTCGGAGCAGCAGCAGCAGCAGGGGCTGCTCCAGCAGCAGCAGCAGCAGCTGCAGGCGACATCCTGGGAAACGGCGAAGTGGATGTACACCGGAACTGGGGGGGTCTTGCGGGACTGCAGCAGCAGGAAGTCGCGGGGTTTTCGAGAGCTCTTCGCGGCGAAAAAAAGGAATTAAAACGAAAATATCTTTCTAATTTAATTTCCGACTTTTTAAATGGTGTAAGAGGGTCCGCCGCAGTCAAAAGAGAGCCCGCGTTCAAGTTTTCCCAAGTTGAAACGGCGCGCGCCCGTGCCAGGCAGAAGCTCATGTGCAAAGGCCGAGGCCTCCAGCTGAGTTGAATGCAAATAAATGAACTTCAAATTAAAGAACTTAAATTAATCAACAGTATTTTGCAAAGTGGAGAGAAGAAGAACGAGCAACGGCCGCCGTTGCCTTCGATTCGCCAAAACTTGAATTGCTGATCTCAGCAGGATCGCGCGCGCGCTGTGGGTGTACGTACACCGCAACCGTCCGTTTCCAACGGGAAACATGCAGGCAAATGAATTTAAACACTTTTAATTCCATTTGGAGGAACTTTAAGAAAGACATTTGCATGCGGCGGGCGGATGGCTGCGGCCAGCGCAGCGCGGCTGCAGCCAACCAGTCGCTGGGGTGTACGTACACCCGGAGAACCGCGCCGCAGCCTCCTTCACTAATTTAACTTTTCCAGATTTGAGAAAGAGCATTTTAAGAAGCTCTTTAGGAAAATAATGAGCGCAGCAAAGCAGCAGCACTGGCAGCCCCTCTTCCCGTGCCCCCCGAAGGCGGGCGAAAGCAGCAGTGCCTGCGGACTCCCTCCTGGCCTTTTCCGCCTCCCAGAGGCTCCAACTTCAAATTATTTGCATTATATTTGACATTTTTCGAATTGTTTTGAGTAAAGTGGCTCCAAATCGTGTCTAATGAGAGGCAACGCCTCCCCCGGCGTGTGTGTACAGCTGCTGCTGCTGCCTATACAGCTGCTGCTGCTGTCTATACACCTGCTGCTGCTGCCTGTACACTTGCTGCTGCTGCCCAGCCTCTGCAGCACTCATCTCAAGCCGCTTCCGCGGGGCCTTTGAAGCGCCCTCCGGCGGCCACTGCCTTTGCTGCTGCACGCCCATTTGTCCCAGCAGCAGCAGCAGCAGCAGCAGCAGCAGCAGTTGTTTGAGCGATGTGGCGCGCGGCCTGGCGCTGCCTGGCGCAGCGGGGCCCCCCGGGCCCCCCCTTAGGGTACAGCAGAGGGGGTCACACGGGGGCCCCCGGCGGGTCTCTTCTTCGGGCCCCCCCCCCGGGCTGCAAGGGGGCCCCCCGGGGGCCCCGGGGGCCCGAGCTGGGGGCCCCCCCCGCCACTGTTGCTGCAGCTTTCCGTGTTTGCTGCTCGCCGTTTCCCTGCGCAGCTTCTTCATCCCGGGCCTTCTCCAGCGCGCCCCCCGCAGACGCTGCAGCCTCCCCCGCTGCTGCAGCAGCAGCGGCAGCAGCAGAGCCCCCTGCAGCGGCAGCAGAGCCCACTGCAGCGGCAGCAGAGCCCACTGCAGCAGCAGCAGCAGCAGCAGCAGCAGGCTGCGGGTGCCTGCCGGTGCCTCGGGGGGAGCTGCGGGAGATCTGCATCCGGAAAGAAATGCGGATGGTGGCCTGGCTGGCGGACAACACCGGAATAGATGTGGGCTGCATGCGGGCCCGCGGTTTGCTGCTGCCGCTGCTGGGGCCCCACACCCCGCGCCCGCTGGGGTACGCGTGGCGCGAGCTGCAGCTGCTGCTGGGCAGCAGCAGCAGCAGCAGCGGCAGCAGCAGCGGCAGCAGCAGCAGCAGCAGCGGGGGCGCGCAGCAGCGGCTGCGCAGCGTGTTTCGGCAGGCCTCCGTTGCTGCTGCGCTGCGCAGCGGGCGGCTGCTGGAAGTGCTGGACTGTTTTGCTGCTGATGTTGCTTTTGCTTACTGCCGGCCGCAGTTTGAACTGAGTCCCGACAAGCAGCACTTGTTCTTGACCGTCTCCATCGACTCCATCCGCCTCTTCAGCAGCAGCAGCAGCAGCAGCAGCAGCAGCAGCAGCAGCAGCGGCAGGGTGCCTTATATTTCCGTGGAAAAGGACTTGTGCCTCAGAGGCTTCGTTTCCTACGCAGGAAAGTCTTCGGTCGAAATCACTGCGGAGCTCCACCAGGTGAGTTCCTCTTTGAAATATAATTCATTGTTACTTGTTTATTTATTTTTATTTACTTTTTGTTTATTTTACTTATTTATTATTTTATTTATTTTATTTATTTATTTTGTTTATTTGCTTGTTTGTTTGTTTGTTTGTGTTTGTAGTGCTGCAGCTGTGAACACTGCCATTTGAATTATTCAACTTGCGCCATTTTGCTTCGAATTGAGCTGTTGTTATCATTTTGAATCTTTTTTTAATTATTTTTCAATTTGTGTTTAAATAATGTTTAAATAATATTTAAGTGGCATTTAAATGGTATTCAAATGGCATTCAAATGAAAATAAAAGCCCAAGTAGTAGCAGCAGCAGCAGCAGCAGCACCGCTGCTGCAGCAGGTGAAGGCGGTTGAGTGGCTGCGCCGATCTGAGGGAAAGAGGGGTTAAATGCATCGAATTGAAGCGAATTTGAATTAAAATGGAACAATTTGGGAAATAATGTTTTTAAATTGCATTTATTCGGCGAAAAGAGCTTTCAAATGCGTGCTTTCCGCCAACTTGCACGCCCGCGCAGGACGGCGCATGCATCGGCTCCGCCTGCCTGGTGTTCGTACACGTGGGCCCCGACGGACGGCCCCGGGGGCCCCTCCCGCCGCTGGAGTCAGCAGCAGCAGCAGCAGACGCAGCAGCAGCGCAGCACTTGCTGGCAGCAGCAGCTCGCCAGCAGCAGCGCCGCGCTGCTGCCCACACAGACGCAGTCCTCAGGGGCCCCGACGCAGAAGAAACAGAGTTCCTCCACAAGACCTGGCTAGCTGCCTGCAGCAGGACCCCGGGGGCCCCCCAGGGGGCCCCCCGGGGGGC